TATATATATATATATATATATATATATATATATATCATAAACGCGTAAAAGTAACAGGCGATATTAATGATATGCAAGACAATCTAATATCGTCAGTGCATACAACCAATAGTACAACTATGCAATCTCGGAACTTGCAATCGAAACTTTGCAATTACATAGAGACAAATATAAGATCACACTCTCGGATATATCTTAACACATTCACTGCCGCAGAGATTATTCTTTCATTTTTTTATACATTTTCGTTTTATATATATTTCTCTTACCATTTTATTACTTACTTTTTCATCTTTCTTAATATCTTCCTTAATTCCGTCCCTCTTTCACTCTCTATTCTCTCTCTATTCACTCTCTATTATTCTCTACTATTAATTTCCCTTTTCTGATTATACTAGATCATTGTATTGTATCATGATTAATAAACAAATCGGAGGTTGCTGTGGCCAATTGTTCTGTGGTCAATCAATGATTGTAATTTATTCAAATGAAAAGAAATGCCTTTCTTAATAGTATGTATCAGTTCGGTATGTCGCCGATCCATCCGGTAGATCATAGACAGTGAATGTGTTAATGTACGACTGGCAATAATCGAAATTGTCGACAAAATGTTTCGAATCTCGATCGTCCAAGTCACATACATAGTATACACGAAACGTATGCACACCACAAATGCATTTACATTTTTAGAATATTTTTCTATTGCGCTAGCTTCAATATTTATCGAGATGTAGCAAAATTCGTTCGTTCTGCACGTTAAAGCATCAGTTAGACGCGTTGAGATCTAATGTTACATACTATATACATATATATATACATATTATACAAACTTCCAATACTTTCGCACGAGCAGTTTCGTACTTTGGTACGTTGTATTATTCTTTTATATTTCTTTTCTTTTTTTTTATAATTTTATACTTTGTATAGAAAATTTGCGTTTTGCGCGATCGTATTTATAAATATTAATAAATGCGCGCTTTGTGGCAGCGATATTAAGTTTCCGGGGTATTTCTGTTATCTCGATGGAGGGCGAGTATATCTATTATTCTTCTTGATATTAGATTGCGTTGATGAGAGAAACGATTCGTGACTTATTAAAGAATGTTCATTGTACAACGAGCACATGTTATCTCAAAAAAATGTAAATCCCGATTCTTTTTATAGCGAATCTCAGCGAATCTCACAGCGAATCTCAATTATCCCGTAACATACGAAGTGTTCAATTAGCTCAATCAAGTAGAATGTAATATCGCGATCACGATATTACACTCTACGTCATATCGATTGTTCTATTAAGCGATAGTGGAACGGGCGAGTATAGTTACGTCATTAATAACGAGCGATTTCCTATTAATATCTCTGAACTTTCCGACGTTAATATTTGTCGAACATTCGTTACTTAAAGGCATCACGATCGCCATTCGGACACGATCGCTATAAAAAGAATCAACGAAGCAGGAACGACGAGGAATCTCAATGACGTAATAATTCAACGTGTGCCCGTTTATCGTGCGAACTCTTCATTGTACATTAGCCTGATATTACTAACATGCCGATGCGTTTTTCGCCGTTTATATAATTAATTATATGTGCAGCTACAGAGAGAGAAAGAGCGCATTCTCGAACATTTTCGCATCGGCATCGCGGAGTTTTTAGATAATTTTTCTATGAAATAAACAAAGCTCGCAGAAAAGGCAGTCCAGAGACACGGATGATCGCGCGGGGCTGTCCATCCACTTGCGGCGCTTTGAACGTTCTAGTATATATCTTGAGAATTACTCATCGCAGAAGCGATACAAATAGGCACAAATAGGCCTAACGTTTCATCGTCAACATTTTCATCCATATTCGCGCGCGCGCGATCGGATGGGCTGCCTTGTACGAGTCTTTTCTCATCTTTTCCTCGTAAAGTAGCGAGTACCCGAGACCAGATCATGTTGTATGATAATTAAGTGAATAATTGTGTCTCTTAATCTTTAAGTTACTCATTCACGAAAGCGATCGCATTGATACGCATCCCGACCTTTGCCCGCTCCCATGTCAATAAAATACGAAAAAAAGAGAAATAAAAAAAAAAAACAAGGGAAATTACAACAAAAAACGAAATGAATACGTCAGTTCACTCCACCGTCGACGTACGTTTAAGTAAATAATTCTAATCGGTGGTAATTCCGATTAGAATCATCCGATGACGATGAAACTGAATCCATAACATCTTG